TCACTGGGACTTTTCTGCCCAGACTGGCTTTAAACTCTCAGCCTCCTGAGCAGCTAGGATTACAGGTGTGAGCCACCGGTGCCCAATGGTGAATTACTTCTCCATTACCACAATCTATGAGGAAGGACAAGGAACCTGAAGGGTCCTATATTGGTGCCGAATACATGTGTGAACCATGTGCTAACCATGGCTGTTAGCCATAGCGCCTCACCTCCTCGCGTAGCTCATACTGCTCAATCAACTTCTTGAGCCTCTCTGCCAGCTCCATATTCTCTTGGCGCAGCTTGGAATTGCGTTCATTATGCTGTTCCATCTGCAGCTGAATGTCATTGAGAGTCACCTGGAAGTGTGAGGTCACCTCCTTGCGCTTCTCCTCCTCCTCCCGGGCCCGTTGCACACCTTCTTCCTGGGCAGAGAGGCCAACACCATCATCCGCTGCTCCCCACCCAGTGTCAACAGCCCTCCCTGCTGCCAAAACAAGAGGCAGACAGCCAATGTCAATCAAAAGGTTTTTGTTTTTTTTTTTTTGGCCAGTCCTGGGCCTTGAACTCAAAGCCTCGGCACTGTCCCTGAGCTTCTTTTGCTCAAGGCTAGTGCTCTAACACTTGAGCCACAGCAGCACTTCCGGCCTTTTCCGTGTATGTGGTACTGAGGAATTGAACCCAGGACTTCATGTATGCTAGGCAAGCACTCTACCACTAAGCCACATTCCCAATCCCATCAATCAAATGGTTTTAAGGGAGCTCTTGCCCTAAAAAAATGCATGCTATTCCAAAGCAGTGTGGCTTTACCGAAGACTTCGGACAAAATATTCTTGTTTAAATGTGGTTTTATGGAAACAGAGCTATGGCTCAAAGTAGTATAACACTAACCTTGAGCAAAAGAGCCCAGGGATAGTGCTCAGGCCCTGAGTTCAAGCCCCACAACTGACAAATAAATAAATGCCTTGGTCCCTCCTAGAGGCCCAGTTAATTTTTATTTTTTTTGTCAGTCTTGGGGCTTGTACTCAGGACCTAGGCACTACCCTTGAGCTCATTTTGTTCAAAGCTAGCACGCTACCACTTGTGCCACAGCAATACTTTCATCTTTTTTCTGTTTATGTAGTACTGAAGAATCGAACCCAGGACTTTGTGCATGTGAGGCAAGCACTCTATCCTACGCCATGTTCCCAGCCCGCAGTTAATATAAATTTTGTAATACCCTAGGCTCACAGGGCTATGCAGAATTAAGCACCAGACACTGCTGGTGGGGAGTAGTACCCTGTCTCCTTACTGGAAGACAACCTGAAAAACCGACCACAATTTAAATTCTACATAAATACCCTCTGACCTATCATTTTACTTCCAAGATTTATTCCACGGATGTATCCTGTGGCCAGGGACACATAAAATAAGAATTCTCACTGCAGCTCTGTATGTCATAGTAAAAAATTAGAAACAACCCAAAAATACCTCAACTAGGACACTGATAAAATATAGCATGCCTACCCATCAATGTTGTTCAAAGGAATGAGTGAGCTGAAGCATAGATAATAGCTGACTGACGTAGTGAAGTGCCAGCCTAGCACGTGAAATGCCAAGGACAAAACAATGGGGCAGTTTATAGAACCGATACCTGTAATTCTAACTATTCAGGAGGTGGATATTGGGGAAGTAATTTGAAAACAGCCTAGACATAAGTCTGTGAGCCTCTATGTCTCATTAACCAGCCAAATGCCAGATGTGGAGGTGTGGCTCAAGTAGTTGAGCATTAGCTGTGAATGAAAAATATCAAGTAAGAGCATAAGACCCTGAGTTCAAGCCCTAGTTCTGATACAAAAAATTAAAAATAAATACACATGAAGAAGAAAGTTAAAAGGCTACATTTTTTGTTTTTTCAATACTCAAGGCCTTGTACTTGCCTCTTTCATATGGGATTATACTTGTTGAGATATGGTATCTAACTCTTTTTTTGTTGGTCGTGGGGCTTAAACTCTGGGCGCTGTCCCTCAGCAATCTGGCTCAAGGCTAGCACTCTACCACTTGAGCCACAGTGCCACTTCTGGTTTTCAGGTGGTTAATTAGAGGTAGATTTTCCTGCTTTTTTTTTTTTGGTTGGTTGGTCGTGGGGCCTGAACTCTGGGCCTGGGCACTATCCCTCAGCTCTTCAGCTCAAGGCTAGCGTTCTACCATTTGAGATACAGCGCTACTTTTGTTTTTTTTCTGCTTATGTGGTGCTGAGGAATCGAACCCAGGGCCTCATGCATGCAAGGCAAGCTCTCTATCACTGAGCTACCTCCCCAGTGCCCGGGCTGGCTTTGAACCGCGATCCTCAGATCTCAGCCTTCTCAGTAGCTAGGATTACAGGTGTGAGCCATCAGCACCTGGCAGCATGACATTCTTGTGAGTTGTTGGGATCTTTAATAGATGGGGCCTAGTGAGATCCAGTCTCTCCCCTTCCTTTTGTTTTCCAGCTATAAAATGAGTGGGCTTTATTTTGCCATGCACTCCTGCCAAAATGTTCTGTGCTCCTCCCCAACCAGAGGCCAAAAATCAAAGGGACCATCTGATCATGGACTACTAGAATTTCTAAAACTATGGACCAAAATAAACTTTTCTCTTTAAAAGTTGATTAACTCAAGGTATTTGTTATAGAGAGGAAGACTGACTAATACAGTAGGACTGTATCTGAGAAATACTGAGTTGTTTTTGTTAGCATCTTACCTAATCTAATGTAAGTACAAGTCAATGGGCTTGAGTGCTTCTCTTAAAGGCTAAGCATTATGGGTGCTGGGCATGCAGGGCCTCTTGGATGCTAGGGAAGTGCTTTACCACGGAGCCTCAATACCAGCCCTGGAAAGGTATATTTCTAAATTGTGAGCCTACTGGAAGGAAAACCCACCAGATGGGTGGGTGAAGGAAAGCCAGGCACCCGCTGACCTACCTTGAGGGAGCGGTTGTGTCGCTGCAGTTCGCGGCACAGGCTCTCCAGCTTGCTGCGGGCCAGGATGGCCTTGCTGTGCTCACCTCGCAGGTGGTCCTTCTCCTGTACCAGCTGGCTCTGCTTCTTTTGTAGCAGCTTCATCTGCTTCTGTGAGTTCCGGTGCTCCTCTAGCTGGGGACAGAAAGTGCAGTGAGTACCAGGGACTCTACTTAGTTGAGCAGTGTCCTCTTCCTCCGGGTGGGCTCTCACAGCCTGATAAATTGCTACAAACTCCACACTAACCCAAGGCTTCATTGTAGGGATACAGGAAAGGATAACCAGTGTGTGGGTGTCACACAGCCAGCACACTCCAACTTCTAGCTTAGCTCCAACTACAGAGACAGAGCTAAGATGCTTCAGACCATTGTATGACCCCCAACTCATTTCACTCTAGGGTGACTACTTGCTGAACCCTCCTCTGACTCACTCATAGTCCCCATAAGTCCCTCTCATTCCTTCCAGAATTCATTATCATTCTCCTCATCATTCTTGGCTTTTGCTAAACCATTTTTCTCATTTCCCTGGAAACAACACCAAAAAAACTAAAGGAGTACCAGCATATTCTCTTATCCAATAGTCCACATGTCCTCTCCTGAATCACAGCCCAAGACATGCTCTCACTGAGGTAGAGCCCTGTGTCCTGCAGGGGCCTCAGATCCCCTCTTCTACTTAAGGTATCACTCCAGAAACTCATTTTCTCTTCTTTTGCACTGGCAATCCTTCCCTGGCCAAATCCTTCTAAAATGCAGTTTCTCTTTTCATATTCTCTTTAATTCTTACAAGAATTTCATAAGATAGACATAATCCCTTCTCCCTCTCCATTTTGTGCCAATACTGTGGCTTGAAGTCAGGGTCTAGATGCTGTCTCTTATCCCTTTTTTGCTCAAGGCTGACGCTGTACCACTTGAGCCATGGTTCCCCTTCCTGCTCTTTGGTGGTTAATTAGAAAGAAGAGTCTCATAGACTTTCCTGCTCGGGCTGGCTCTGAATCTTCATCCTTAGATCTCAGCCTCCTGAGAAGCTAGGATTACAGGCATGAACTACCAGTGTCCCTGTATTTTGGAGATGCAGAGAGAAAAACTTGATGGAAAGACCATATGGTATCTGGGACTTGGGCCAAGGAGCTTGGACTATTTTACCTGGAAAGCATTGAGAGATTTCTTTCAAGGAATGTGAAGCTTCTCCTTTTTTATATCTCATACTGTCAGCTCTAAAATGGCTGGCTGGGAATGGAATTTTGATTTAATAGATGGAATAAGGACTCAGAGAAAAGATGAGCAGGAAGTAAGCCAGCCATGTGTCTTGCCCCTGCCATACCCCACCATAACCTGCTGCCTTTCCAAAGGCTGGCAGGGAATCAGCAGAAGAGGGCACTGACCAGTTCAGCATACTTCTTGCACAGCGCAGCCAGCTTCTCCTCCGGCGTACTTAGCGTGTTCAGTGTCTGCATCAGTAAGGTGATCTCCTTACCTGTAAAACACAGGGAACAAAAAGCATGCACCTCCTTCTTGGGGTCCCTCCAGGCCAGGACCCACATGTGTGAGCTCTGATGCAGCATTACTACTGAAGAAGGTGTTTCATGAGGCTTGGAACCAATTTCATCTTTTTACTTTAAACTAAATTTTTTTGGTCTTTTTCTCTTTCCTTTTTTTTTGAGGGTCGAGGGGCTTGAACTCTAGGCCTGTGCACTGAGCTCTTCAGTTCAAGGTTAGCACTCTACCACTTGAGTCACAGTGCCACTTCTGGTTTTTCTGGTGGTTAACTGGAGATAAGAATCTCATGGCGGGGAGGGGTGAGGGGGGGAAGGTGGCTCAGTGGTAGAGTGCTTGCCTTGCATGCATGAGGCTCTGGGTTTGATTCCTTAGCACCATATAAGCAGAAAAAGTGCTCTGGTTCAAGTGGTAGAGCGCTAGCCCTGAGGTGAAGAGCTGAGGGACAGTGCCTAGGCTGAGTTGAGGCCCCACAACCAGTAAGGAAAAAAAAAAAAGTCTCATGGATTTTTCTGCCTGGGCTGGCTTTGAACCGTGATCCTCAGATCTCAGCCTGAGTAGCTAGCTAGGATTATAGGCATGAGCCACCGGTGCCCAGCTTTTTTTTTTTTAAGTACTAGAGATTGAACCCAGGATGTTGCATTTGCTAGACAAGTGATTTGCCACTGAGCTACATCCTAGCCCATAACCAATATAATCTTGCTATCAGTGTAGTACCAGCAATGTCCATATGGATGTCACAGACTACATTAAATGAATGAATTGGCTGGGGACTATTGGCTCATGCCTAGCTACTCAGGAGGCTGAACCTGAGGATCATGGTTCAAAGCCAGCCTGGGAAGAAGTCTGTGAGGAGGCTTTTTTTGTTGGGAAAAAAAAAAAAAGGGGTGAGATCCCAAAAGGAGTATGTTTATGTCTCCTGGTCTCAGAGAAAAATAACTAAACTTCTGTCAACAGATATAACCAAATAGTAAACTTAAAATAAATATTACACACACACACATATATATGAATATATATATGAACATATATAAATGAATATTCCATACACACACACACATATATGTGCATGTGTATGTGTGATCCCAAGGTTTACCAAACAATAACAAAATAAAAGTGCCTCTTTAAGCTAGGACAGGGAAACAGTGGACTAGGACATGGGTACAATATCACTTAACCTAGATTGTTTTTTCTCTTCCCCATCTTCCTAATGTTAGGGAGTCTTCCATGTGCTTCCGACCAGTCTTAGACCAGGTTTCTAAAGTGTCAGTTAGCTTTGAGAGGCCCAAACACATTAGCATAGAGACTTCAAATAAATGATTATCAGGTTAAGTCCAATCAATAAGTGGGTTCTGCTGGGCTCATACTACTTTAGTTGCCAACTAGTCAGGCTGACAGCATGAAACTAACACCCATGGGCAGTAAATCTTTTGGATGAAGTAGGCCTTCTCTTGGTTCTCATGTCTAGCTTGCTTATGTAGGCATTTGCTTTCAACCTTGGTGGTCCAATTCTTTTATTATAAAAGCATGCAAAGAATGAGCCAGAGGGGAAAGGACATGACCAAGATCACATTGCAGGTTAGAAATGGTGATGGCTAGCACAGGAGTCTATCCTCCAACTCTCCACTTTCTGAACTAGAGAAGGTTGGATTTCAGCCTCCATTTGCTCCCACTGCTAGGAGGCCTTGCCTAATGACTTTCATATTTCTACATAGGAACAACACACCCCTGGACTTTAACTACAGAAACTGCCTGAGAAGTTTCTTCTGAATCCTGTGGGAGGAAGCTAGCCCATGGAACAATAGGTCCAAATTCCCCCTTCTTCCCCCCCCCCAACCCTCCCCTCTGTTAAGTCTTATAAGTAGCTGATGGCTCTCACCCAGACCCTTGGCTTTCTTCTTTTCCTGTGGCCTTCGGTGGTCCCGGTCTACCACCTCATCACTTGCTCGGATCTCTTCTGTGCCTGGTTCTCCCTTGGAGATTTCTTTTTCACCGTTGACTATCGGGGTCCCTGGTTCAGGTTCCCCATTCCTTGCAGCATAAGTTCGGGCCTTCTCTGCTTCTTTGGGTTCAGTGGGCTCACCCTGTGTTCCATCCTCAGCTGGGGTTCCCTGATTGTTGTCCACACAGTATGTACTCAATATGTCTTCCAACTGACGGCTCAACTCCTCCGAGACATCACAGAGGGCGCCAGACTGAGCTGCTTTGGCTTGGGCTCCTATAAGGAAGGATAAAGGTGAAGGGAAAAGATGGTTATACCACTGGCTGTGTTGCCTAATTTCTTTAAACCTCAGTTTACTTACTTGCAAAATGATGTAACTATTCCTTACTACTAACCAAACACGTCTGTTTATGAACATAAAGCCAATTATGTAAAGCATCCAGGATGCTGGGCTGGCATGTAGGGAAAGCTCAACTTCTAGTCCATTTCCTTCCCACCAAATGCCACATTTTGCTATTGATACTTTCAGAAATACTTCAAATATGAAGGGCAATGACCCACCAGTGACTGAGGTGTTCTGGTTTTGCTGGGGTTGGGGTGTCTCACTTAGCTGTCAACAGCTGCAAAAGCCTGACCCAAGAGTTATATTCCAATGCTAAGGGTAGGAGGCTCTACCGCCGCCCCAGGAAGCGTGTGTGTGTGTGGGGGTGGGGAATCACAGAGGATGGGCATGGGCATTGCTTCCTCTCATTCGCCATTTCATCCTTCCTGGGTCAGCAGGAGCCTCATCCTCTAACTCCAGAAGCCAGGCCAGTACCACAAACTCCTCCCTCTGCCCGCTGGAAATGCAGAGCTGGCACACACACCGTCGGTCTTCCCGGGAGCCTGGCTGGTGGAACCTTCAGCTGCTGTTGCAGGAGCCATCGTGCTGGGCCGCCCCTGGGTTCCCTCTGGTCCGGCTTCCGGTTGACCTGGGTTGCTTTTGGGGTGGGACTGTTTGGCAGGCCCGTTCTTTTTGTCTTGGTTCTTCATTGTGATATGCAACGCTGGGTAAGGAGCAGATCCTTTAGAAACAATGACAACTGCAAACTATCCAAACTTCCAAATTCTTCGCAGCTGGGATCAGAATTCCCAACGCCCGGCGCACAAAGCTTCTTCAAACAAATTGGCCCAAAGGCCGGAAGGAGCCAGATACTGCGTGTCTCGGCGAGTCAGAAGACTCGGGTGCCTCCGCCGGCGGGCTTTCCGGACGCGACTCCTGCAAAGGATGAGAAAAGAGGCCTCCTTTCTCCGCAAGCCACTTTCCGGCACTACACGACCTCCTACAGCGGACCGAGCGCCGGCATTGGCTCCGGGCCGCAGACTGACGTGGCGGGACGCTAGAGTCGTGACCCCCCTCCCCCCCACCCAGGGCCGAACCCCACGTGGGCCCCCGCGCGCCCACACCCACGCCCACACCCACGCCCCGCGTGCCCTCCAGCCGCGCGGCACGTCTGCGCACGCGCCAGACATCCCCCACCCCACCCCCACCCCCGGCCCACGCGCGGAGTCGGCGTGATGCCTCGGCTGGCCTCTACATTCTAGCCTACATACCCCTCTGGTGGTCTCGTCCCACCAGTCGCCCCAGGACGCACCAAAACTCCGACGTACGACGGCGTTCCCGTTCTGGCCTCGCACCGGAAACCCAGAGCAACCGCTGCCTCCGGAGTGCCGCTCCTACAGCAGCCAATCAGCGGTCGTTGTTGGCGCTGAGCTTGCTGGGAAAGGCCAAATGAAGGCGGGCACGGCGGCGGGGAACAGGGAAGGACTACAGTTCCCTTCATGCATCGGGTTTGGCCACAAGTCCCAAGATGCAATAGAAAGGGCTTTAGCCGTAGGACCTGACTACACAGCAGGTTCCAATGGGCTAATCTGCCCTTACGCTCTCGTTAGTCTTTCCTTCTCCACCCCCAGCCTGGAGAATCCAAAATCAGCCCCTAACCTCCTACGTCTGCATTTTCTTTCTTGGACGCCTTCATTAAAACAACAAAAACAACCAAAAACTAATTTGTGTGCCGGTTCTGGGGTTTGAACTCAGGGACTGGGCGATGTCCTTTAGATTTTTCTGTTTAAGGCTGGTTCTCTATCACTTAAGCCATACTTCTACTTCGGCCTTTTTGGTTAATTGGTGATAAAAGAAATTTCCTTTCTCAGGTCGGCTTCGAACCTCGAAGCTTAATTTACATATGACTTATCTAGGAACTCTGACAATGAGGGAAGAGGAACAGAGTGCTGGGTCTTGTTTATCGGCGTTCCAAGTCCTCCTTAGCAGAATCAGTAATTTTTTTTTTTTTTTTTTGTCGGGCGTGGGGCTTGAACTCTGGGCCTGGGCGCTGTCCCTCAGCTCTTCAGCTCAAGGCGAGCGCTCTACCACTTGAGCTACAGCGCCACTTCCGGTTTTCTGGTGGTTTGTTGGAGATAGGCGTCTCACGGTCTCTCCTGCCCGGGCTGGCTTTGAACCGCGATCCTCAGATCTCAGCCTCCTGAGTAGCTAGGATTACAGGCGTGAGCCACCAGCGCCCAGCTTCGTAATAGTTTTGAATGCTTATTACTACGTTGCTTTCGTGACTGCTTGATCCTCATAAATACTGGGAAAAAAGTACTCTTTGTTCTGTAAACTGGGAAAATTATTCCCACTTTAGGGAAGGAATCGAAAGCAAAGCCTAGGTAAATCGGCCATTTCAACACTGAGTTAAAGGACGACTGACAACCATCTTTACTTGCTACTCTATCTTCTATGCAGAAGCAATAATCATCTCGCAGGATTTCCCTGAAGCAGAGTCCAAGTAAATTGTGAAAATAGGTTATTTCTCACCTATCACTAGTGCAGCATTTAGTCCCTTAAGCAGGGGTCTTTGCACTGAGAATCTAGCTTGGGGCAGGCAGATTCACTACACAGTCCTATTTGCATATGGGCTAAAATTGAAAACATCTTTAAACTTTAAAAGGTCTTAGTTCTTCATTGTAATGTTCAATGCTTATGAAATAAATTGTTACCCCAAGTGTGATCAGTTTTTTCCCCTTCTCTACTGGTGCTAGTAATACCAGGAATTTAACTCAGGGTCTCATGATGTTGCTTGGCTTTCTTGCTCAAGGCTGGCACTTTACCACTTGAGCCACAGTTCTATTTCTGGTGTTTTGCAGGCTAATTGGAAATGCAGGTCTCAAGGATGTTTGTTCAGGTTGGTTTCACACCATGATTCTCAGGTCTCAAATCTCGAATAGCTAGGATCACAAAAAGGAGCCATTTGCGCTTGGTTTGTTCATCTTTATTTTTGGTGATAGTTTCTTACATACATGTGTATCTCAATTTGTCAGTGTGCTTTTTTTTTTTTTTGGTAGTACTGGGGGTTTAAGCCCAAGGCCTGCTTCTTATGCAAGTGCTTTACATTTTAGTTCTATCAAAAGCCCTTTTTGTTTTTCAGGTAGGATCTCACTTTTTGGACTGGGTCAGCTTAGGATTCCAATTCTCTTATCTCCAAATCTTGCCTATATAGGATTATAGGTGTGTACCACCATGCCTATCTGTTGAGATCTTCCTTTTGCCATGACTGGCCTTATTCCACTTCACCATTAAAATATACACTTAACTTTTATTAGAGTCTCTGGGACTACAGGCATATGCTACGCTACAGTGCTCAGCTTGGTGTAATTCCCATTTCTATCATTAAACCAGTTTGTGCACTTCTAAAGCCAGTTAGGGTTATTCTAAACCAAATGAGACAATTTAGAATTTTCAACAGGTTTTTATTTTTTCTTTATATCTATTACAGTGTTTGAAACCTAAAGAAATACATTTTCTCTTCAAATTTGGATGTGTATATAAATATCTTTTGTCTGGACTCAGCACACTCAATGCCATGGTTTCTTGGCCTATGTCTGCTCTGAAATCATCAAGCTTCGTCTATCTCCCCAGGGGCCCTGAGAATATAAAAAATAGCCAGAATTTACAGTTCTTAGAAAAAATAAAAGCCAATGGGTCTGGAAAGCAAAACTGATGAGAAGGATTCAATTCACTGTCCTTAGCGGGAAACCCAAACTGTTTTTGATGGACATCCTGTCTCTCAGGTGGCTGAGATCCCATATCCCCTTCCCTTACTTATTAAGACAAAAAGGGGGCATTTCAATAGAAGCGGGCTAAAAAGGCCAATCCCTACCTCCTGGGCCCGAGGTTCAACTCAGAGTATCAACACCTAAAGCACCTCCCAGCTAGAATTTCCAGTCCGTGATCTGAGCTGTGAGTTCCTTCACAGCTCCCTTGAACATGGCATGCAGCTCTCCCCCCACACCCAGGAACAAAGTAAGAAAATGAAAATCAGATTTCAGTAGGAGAGCAGAGCTAATGTGTCACACAGAGGTTCCAGCATGTCCTAATGTAGGCATTAGAAGTCAGGCTGGCCTACAAATAGGCGGGCAGGCTCACACCCCTGAAAACAGCACACAAACCTTTCTCCTAGGATGTTCTGGGTCCCTGTTTAACATTGCTTCTCACAGTCGGCTTTGGCCCTGCACATGGACTAGGCCTTCACAAAGCCCAATGTCTTCTCAAAAGAAAACTAACAGTTTTAATTCAGAGATTTGGTTGGTTTTGACTTCAAACTCTTCCCATGCCATCTTACTAGGGGTGGACTAGAGACAGAAATCATTTGTGACGGCCTTGACCCCACAGCAGAGATCCATACAGGGCCAAATTGTCAGCTTGCTGGTTTGATAGAAGGATACAAAAGGTAAAACAGAAAACAAAAATGCTGATGATGTTGGCCTAAAATGTGTAATACTAAGTGGTCAGAAAAAACCCATTGTGAACAGTCTGTCTCATCCTCACTATCTGAAAGATGGTGTGATTGGTCATGAATACTTCCTATGCTCCAACGAAGCCTTGTACCCTTCCCCACCTTGCAGGAAGCCCCAAGCAAGATCTGTATTCTCTATTGTGTCTCTGGAGCACTTGCAGGGACTTAGAGAAGTGCTTCCCTGTTTTCAACGGAAAGGCCTATTATATAGACTCTTAGGACCACAAAACAAATCCACTGAGGAATACCCAAGAGGATGGATACCAAGCTGGTCACTGCAGGGAAGAAGTGATAAGGCCTGAACAATCGAGCTATGGAGAAGGATATGTGGAGAGAGAAGAACTGCTAGGTAGCCATGATAAAATGGAAGCATAGCTCATTCTGCTCTGAATTCCTTTTGAACTGATTTGGCTTGAGAGAAGTTGAGAGTCTATGCCAAAGAGTCTTCTTTTCTTCTCCCATAACTAAATACAATTAGCAGCTATAACATGTGCCATTTAGTTCCAATGAATAGAGCTCCTGGCAAATGGCTTCAAAGGGGAGAAGCAAGTGGTGTAAGAGTCTAAGTTAAGGAGGTACACCCAGGGCCCTCAAAAACAGAGGTCATTAATATCTGCTCCCTGGGTCACTTATGCCTTCAGACCTAGGCTGACATGCTGAGGATAGAAGTGTGGTTCTACCAAAAGGCTAGGTGGTCACCATCAAGGCCTGGTGGTCACTGAGGATAGCTAGAAACTGAACCCAAGTTTCTAAGGCCAGAAATCCTGTAGTATAGGTGATTTGGGGGTGGAATGCCTAGAGAGGCTGGTAATAAATAATGTTCAAAACAGTATCTGAGCATGTGAGCTAAGCGTTTCCTGTTCTCTTAATCCACACACCTAGATACCACTGCTGCCATCAAGGATAGTAAAAGCCATGTGCTAACATCTGAGGATTTCAAAAACATGCCTCGGCCTATCAGTCTGTTCTTTACAGCTTGAAAGCTCTGTAGGCCAGCCTGGCAATAACTATTCATAAATTTGTTAGAAAGGCTCTGTCCTCACTTAGGCCAAGATCTAGAGTCTTATGGGACTCTCTCCACAAGAGTAGCCCTCACAAGATGGCAAAAGGAGAAGAGGAATAGTAACAAAAAATGTTACTACAGTGTAGCTGGCGGAACTTCACCTGCAGACTGGAGCACAATTCAAGGAAAATAAGAGAGAAACATGGTTTGGCAAAGATAAAGGAAATCTAGAGACCAATTTTCTCTGAAGTCTGTCCATATATTGTACTAGCAGAATGGAGTCTCTGAAGACTTCAAAGAAAGTCTCTCCCTGGCTCCTCTCTTCTCCCTTTCCTAGGAGATTGAGTTTGTAATCATCCCGAAACTGAGTGAAATCTGATTCATCAAGGTCACACAACACTGATGTAATTTTTCAATGATGATATACCTTCTTCAGAAAATTGCTCTGGAGTGGAGCCTCAACTCTAGGAGAGGGCAAATTCAAGACCAATGGCCAACAAGAGGATCCACAAGCAGAGGGGTAGAGATTTCACCTGAGTCAAAGGGGTATGTAGGAATGGTAGCAAAAACCAGCAGTTTCTGGGGGACAAAAAGTATAGCTTAGATAAGAATATCTCTGACTAACCACAGTGAGGATGCAGGGACTGGATACATTGGACTACTAGCTCCCCTGTTGGTCTACACTTAGCTGACTTCTTCCACCTCCATCCCCAACATTTCTGGGCTTTATTGCCATGTAAAAATTCACCAGGCATAAGCAAGCCACTGAGGCACTGCACTAGTTTTACTAAGAAAAGGAAATCTGGTGGATTATAATTGTCACATGAAGGAAAACCCAAACAAGGTACACGGATACAAGACAGGGACAACACCACAGCTCTCACAAAAGCATTCAGGCTTCTAAATTTCTATGATCATAGGAGAGAGAGCTGCATGTGAAAATATGTGGACAATGGCCTATAAGATTGAATTTGAAAAGACAGACTGCTTTGTAGGTATCCAGAAAGAAGGATTAGTGGTAGACTTCACCAGAGCCTAAGACTTCACCAGTTCCCTTCAGGTACTAGACAATCAGACCAGGCTAACTTGCTTTATAAGGGTTCCAGAACTGAGGATTGGTCCCAAGCGGTGGCCCAGAAGCTAAGTAGAAAGGAAAAGGACCAAGCTCAGGCCTTCTGAGTGAGGCAACATTAACACCTCTTTTTGGACTTTCTCACAGTATCCTACTCACAGAAGTTATAGAGTGTCCCTCCAATTAAGACTGACTTCCAATAATATATAGAATATAAAAAAATACAGAACTTCTTGACATTGTCTCCTTTGGAAGTAAAATATACATGATCCAACTATGGAAGAAGAAAAGCCAAAGGCAGGGATCCCTGACTATCCCAATACATGACACTATCACTCAAGCCTCTTCTGCAACTTATGGGTAACCAGAGCAAGGACTTCCTCCTCTGGAGAAAGGAAGGACCACAGCCCCCTGTCTCAAGGGTAGGAGAAAATACAGCCACCCCAGAGGTTAATTCAACTCTGAGTGGAATTTTCAAGTAAACAAATGAAATTGGGTTGCACCATTTGGAAGGTGGGTAGGAAACGGTCAGTAGCTACATAGGGGAAGCCCTGTGGGAAGGCCTGGCTTCCTCCCCTCCACTCCTAATGGTATACTTGCCCCAGGAGAGTGAGGGTCTCTCCCAAATTAACAAGGGTGAGGCAAATGGTCAGAGGGAGGGAGGATTCTTTGTTTCATAGTGCCTCCCTATCAGCCTCTATGCCACACAATGCTGGCAGCTGGGATTTCTAAAATCAGGAACTCATGGCTCTTGGGAAGAGCAACCTTAATACAACAAAAATGTGCAAAAGAAAAAAATTAAATAACTCAATCCACGTATACAAGATTAGTATTCTGTCAGAGCAAGAACACTTTGTTTTGGACTTTTCCCTCCCTTCCCCCCTCCCCCCTCTGGGATATTCCATCTGCTCAAGTACCCAAGGTAAGAGTTATACAAATCAGGGCAGAGGACTGGGAAGGAGAAAGGAAGATAAAAGGGAAGAAGTCACCACTGAAGAAAAAAAGGAAAAAAATAAAAATTCAAAAAGGTGCAAATTGATTACCTCAGTCCTCCTTTGTCTATCCCTGGGCTCCTGGGTTATAAAGAAGTGTGCAGCCAAAACATAGTGTAAGGAAGAAAACCCAACACATCCCCTTCTTGTCACAAAACCCAAATGTGAGCCTCAGATGGTTGTGTCTGTCCAGAGGGTGCTCCCTCCAGGGAAGGGGGTGGAGCAGGTCAAGAGCACAGTCTCCAGGGCAGCAGGTATATGTGACTGATGGTGGGGAAGCTGTTTTCCCGCCCATCAGAGGGCTGCTCTTCTGCTGGTTGGTGGTTCATCCCATCCCTTCCCCTCCCCGGAGGCAGATATTATAGCTGGAAGCCCTCCATGGGCGCCTCAGGCTGCTGGAAGATGAACTGCTGTTGTGTTTCATCCACCTGGGGAGCCAGGCTACTATCATCGTCTTCTACACCAAAATAGTGCTCAATGAGGTCAAAGGCTTTCTGGTAGATCTCCTGGTTCTCATGGCTCTGGAGAAATTCAATTTTATCCAAACCTATGGTGGTAAAAAGGAAGGGTCCATAAAACATTTACTTATCATTCTTTGAGTTATGTGTACAAACATGTTATTGTTTACAAACACATGTAAGATCAATTCACTTTAACTTGAAAGAAGAGTCAAGATCTCTTCCCCAAATTATAGACTCCCAAGGGAAAGAGATGAACCTGTCCATTAAAAAATGAGTATCTAGTCCTCATTTATTTTTGTTGGTCATGGGGCTTAACCTCTGGGCCTGGACAATGACGCTCAGCTCTTTAGCTCAAGGTGAGCACTCTACCACTTGAGCCACAGTGCCACTTCCAGTTTCAGGTGGTTAATTGGAGATAAGAGTGTAACAGACTTTCCTGCCTGGGCTTGCTGCAATCCTCAGATCTCAGCCTCCTGAGTAGCTAGGATTACAGTTGTGAGCCGGCAGCACCTGGAACTACCTTAGCTTTTTTGCTCAAGGTTAGTGCTCTACCACTTGAGTAGCTCTACTTCTGGCTTTCTGCTGGGTAACTGGAGTTGAAGTGTTATAGACTTTCCTGTCCAAGCTGGAAACGTTTCAAACTGTGACCCTCAGATCTCAGTTTCCTGAGTAACTAGGATTATAGATGTGAGCCACTGGTGCCCACCTCACTATTTTTATTTGTTGGCAATATAGGACTTGAAATTTCCATTTGTAAGGCAAGTACTTTACCACTTGAGCTACACCTCTCTAGCCCTCTTCATTAGTTTTAGAGAGAAAAACTCAAGGTCAGAAAAACTATGGATGCTTTCCAACACCCACCCCAACATATACATGTGTCCTGCTTTGGAAGGTTAGTCTTTAAGACTGGACCTACATTCTCTACTTAAGATGGAGGTCAGGTGTATGAGAAGAAACTTACCATAGGCTTCCTCGATGAGGCCACAGTAGGGATTGACCCCGGAGCCACTACGCTTGCCCTCTTGTTCACCAAGCCTTAGGATGTTCTCGAGTCCATTGAGGGCCACTTGCACAATCTTTGAATCCATTACTGTCAGCAAATCACACAAGGGTTTGATGCACCCCAATGATACGAGGTACCTGAAGGCCAGAGCAGACAAACTCTACATTAATGCAGGGCAAGTAAAGTGCTGGGTAGGTGTGGGTCTCCATCATCACCCTTATGGATTCTTTTTTCTTTCCCTGCTATGTCTCTGGGGCTTAAATGCAAGACCTGGATACTATCCATTAGCTTTTTCACTTAAGGCTGGAGCCCCATCACTTGAATCATACCATCACTTTTAGATTTCTGGTGGTTAATTATAAGTAAGTCTTGGACTGGGAATGTGGCTTAGCGGTAGAGTGCTATCTAATATGCATGAAGCTTTAGGTTCTTTCCTCAGTACCACATAAAGAGAAAATGCCTGAAGTGGCACTGTGGATCAAGTAGTAGAGTGCTAGCCCTGAATAAAAGAAGCTCAGGGACAATGCGCAGGCCTTGAGTTCAAGCCCCAGGACTGGCCACAAAAAGAAAGAAAGAAAAAAAAAAAAAGGTCTCATGAACTTTCCCTGCTGGCTTCAAATCACAATTCTCAGATCTCAGCCTTCTGAGTAGCTAGGATTACAGGAATAAGACACCAGTGAGCATTCAGCTTCTTCTTCTTTTTTTGGGGGGGTCTGGTCGTGGGGCTTGAACTCTGGGTTTGGGCACTGTCCGTCAGCTCTTCAGCTCAAGGCTAGCACTCTACCACTTGAGCCACAGCGCCACTGCCGGCTTTTTTCTTTCTGCTTATGTGGTGCTGAGGAATAGAACCCAGGGTCTCATGCATGCAAGGCAAGTGCTCTACCACTGAGCCACCTTCCCAGCCCTCAGCTTCTTCTTGAGTCTTCATAACTACCTATCCTTCATCTGAATCTCTCCACCATCCTTTTGTTATTGGTGTAGTTCATGTCATACATTATTCCATTATTCCACATAAACCCTTCCTTCTAATGCTGCTTTCACCACAATATTCATTTTTTTTTTTGTTCTTCTTTTGTGCAGCTACTGGAGCTTAAATTCTTGGCCTTGTGTCCTTTCTTAGCTTTTTTTTTTTCTTTTTGGTCAGTTGTGGGGCTTGAACTCTGGGCCTGGGTGCTGTCCCTGAGCTCTTCAGCTCAAGGCTAGCACTGTACCACTTGAGCCACAGTGTACTTCTGGTTTTCAGGTAGTTAACTGGAGATTAAGAGTCTCATCGACTTTCCTGCCTGGGCTGGCTTTGAACTGTGATCCTCAGATGTCAGCCGCCTGAATAGCTAGAATTACAGGTGTGAGCCACTGGCGCCCAGCTTCTTTCTTAGCTTTTTCACTCAAGTCATGTGCCATACCTCTGCTTCCAGCTTGAACTCAGGGCCTGGGCGCTGTCCCTGTGCTTTTATGCTCAAGACTAGCACTCTACCACTTAAGAGCCACAGCTCCACTTCCAGTTTTCTGGTGGTTAACTGGAGATACGATTCTCACAGGGCTGGGAATGTGACTCTGCCAAAGTAGAGTGCTTACCTAGCACACATGAAGTTTGATTCCTCAGTACCAAATAAACAGAAAAAGCCAGAAATGGCACTGTGGCTTGAGTGGTAGAGTGCTAGCCTTGAGCAAAAAGAAGCTCAGAGAAGAGCATCGGTGGCTTATGCTTGTAATCCTAGCTACTCAAGAGGCTGAGATCTGAGGATCATGGTTCAAAGCCAGCCCAGGCAAGAAACTCCATAAGACTCTTATCTCCAATAAACCACTCAGAAAACCGGAAGTGGTACTAGGCTGAAGTGGTACTACGAGCGCCCAGGCCCAGAGTTCAAGCCCCCGGGGCTGGGAAGGTGGCTCAGTGGTAAGAATGCTTGCCTTGCATGCATGAGGCCCTGGGTTCGATTCCTCAGCACTACATAAGCAGAAAAAGCTGGAAGTGGCACTGTGTCTCAAGTGGTAGAGCGCTAACCTTGAGCTGAAGACCTCAGGGATGGCGCCCAGACCCAGAGTTCAGGCCCCACGACCGACAACAAAAAAGAATTCAAGCCCCACGACTTAAAAAAAAAAAAAAAAGCAGCTCAGGGACAGTAGTCCCCAGAGCAGCTCAGGGACAGTAGTCCCCAGAGCAGCTCAGGGACAGTAAGTACCCAGAGCAGCTCAGGGACAGTAATACCCAGGCCCTGAGTTCAAGTCTCAGGACTGACAAAAAAAGGAAAAAACTCTCACAGACTTTCTTGTCCAGGCTGGCTTCAAACCACAATCTTCGTATTTTAGCCTCCTGAGTAGCTAGGATTACAGGCGTGAGCCACTGGTGCTCAGCTCTAGTGTTTAAAAAGGCTAAAAAATAATGTAGTAAAGACAGGGAAATTAATGGTAGAATAATTAAAAATCACTTAAAAATGAAAACCATCAAGCAAGCAAGCTGCTTTGATTGACCCACACCATGATTCCTCTACATTTGTATAACTGAGACTTACACAGCTGTCAGTTTTCTGGACTGTAGGAAGGAGTAGAGGGGTAGTAGTAGATGGGCTGTCACCACAGGTTTTCTCTTCTCCAGGAGGGAAAAGATATCAAACACATGGTTTGCAGGAATCTATTTCAGAGTTCATTATCATTGTAGCAATTTACTAGTTTAACTATACTGCAGTTGGATCAGGATGCAGATGTTATCCACAAACCAGAGCTAAGAAGGAAATGCTCTCATCATTTAAGATAATAGGCAAGAAGCTGGGCACAGGTGGTTCACTCCTGTAATCCTAGCTACTCAGGAGGTTGAGATCTGAGGATCATTGGTCAAAGCTAGTCTGGGCAGGAAAGTCCATGAATCTCTTATCTCCAATAAATCAATAGAAAAGGAAGTGGCACTGTGGCTCAAGCAGTAGAGCATTAGCCTTGAGCTGAAGGACAGCACCCAGACCAAGTTCAAGCCCTATAACCGAAAAACAAAAAAAAGGAAAATGGGAAAGATATGTAATACCTGATTTGCTCTGGGGTTCCTCCTGATGTGGCATTGGTAATGGCCCAAGCTGCCTCTTTTCTTGTTCTGAACTCTGCTTTTTGAAGGATTTCAATCAACACAGGGAAGATATTTGCATCTATGACAGCCTTAAGGGCATTAATGAAAGAGAGGGAAAGCCATTTTAAGAAGAGAAAGAAAACAGCACAAAAATCACTTAAGACTTAGACATCATTCCCCACCTATAAGTTTTGTTACTCCCATACAAGTGACAGGATATGAGGAACAACCTATAGGTTCTACTACATAAGAGTCTTAGACCAGAAGTACATATTGACCCCTCATTTGTTTGGCTTTGTTTTTGTGGCAGTGGGGATCAAACAAGGGCCTTGCATGGCTAGGCAAGTGTCTACCACTGAGCTATATTACCAGCCCTTGATCCAAAATGTTTTTGGTTTTTTTTTTTTGCCAGTCCTGGGACTTGAACTCAAGGCCTGGACACCATCCCTGAACTTCTTTTTGCTCAGGGTTAGCACTCTACCACTTGAGCCACAGCACCACTTCTGGCTTTTTCTGTTTATGTGGTACTGAGGAATTGAACCCAGGGCTTCATTTGTGCTAGGCAGACAGTCTACCACTGAGCCACATTCCCAGCCCCTAATTGGTTTTTTGGTTTTTTTTGGGTGCAAGTCCTGGGGCTTGCTTAGGATACTGTTCTTGAGCTTCTTTGTTCAAGGCTAGTACCCTATCATTAGAGACCCAGCTCTACTTCTGGGCTTATTTTGGGTGTTTACTTGGAGATAAGAGTCTCACCAACTTTCCTGCTGGCTTCAAACTATGATCATCAGATCTCAGACTCCTTAGTAGCTAGGATTTCAGGTGTGAGCCACTAACACCTGGCTTGACCCCTATTTTTAAAGGGGAATAAATGTTTTCTGTGGCAACAAATATACCACAAGCCTCCAATACCCTGATTATCTTTTCAAACCCCTCAATTATCCTGACTGTTCTACCTGTATCTGAGCCCTGTTGCCAGCAGTGATGTTTGAAATGGTCCAGCAAGCTTCCTTCCGAATTGACTCCTTAGAGCTGCTCAGCAAGTGCAGAAGGCAAGGGAGGGCTGAACAGTTAAGAATAACCTAGAACACACAAAAACACAGGAAAGAAAAGAGAAATTAGGAGTTGGGACATTTACAATGTGTGTGCATCAAGACATCATAAACAATGAAAGTTGGGCACCATCCAATCACTTGGAGGACTGAAAATAATCAAGTCTGAGGTAGAAAAAATTTTCGATCTCACTTCTTGGGTTAGAATATCTCATCCCATCTTTTCCTTTCCTTAGACTAGGATTTGTATCACAGCTCCTGCATCTCAGGCCTTTGGACTAAGAATGAATCACACCATCAATATTCCTGGGTCTCTAGTTTATACACACACACACACACACACATATATATGTACACATACATGCATATATATACATATATACATACACACACATACGTGTATGTGTCTCTGAGTTCAAGCCTCAGGATCCGAACCAAAAAAAAAAAAGGAAAACTACAGAAGTGTAGAAAATATTTGCAAATCAAGTATCAAATCAAGTATCTAATGAAGGACTGATAGAATATATAAAAAACTACAACTAAACAACAACAAAAGTTCCTAAGCAGCCAAAGTAAAAAAATGAGGAAAAGCAAAGGAAGATATTCTTTGGGGAGGAACACAAAGCACAATAGTTCTCTGCTTCTGATCAAGCATAATAATATTTATCAAAATGAACTCCAGGAGAAAAAAAAGGAGGAAAAGATTTAGATAGACATTACTCCCCCAAAAGTTATATATAGATGGCTAACAAGCTATACTATAAATTTGCTCATCATGAATAATTATGAAAATGCAAATAGAACCACCATGGGATACGTTATAACCATAAGATGGTTGTTTATAAAAGCAAGTAGAGGGCTGGGAAAGTGGCTCAGTAGTAGAGTGTTTGCCTTGCATGCATGAAGCTCTGGGTTCAATTCCTCAGCACCACATAAGCAGAAAAAGCCAGAAGTGGTGCTGTGGCTCAAGTGGTAGATTGCTAGCCTTGAGCTGAAGAGCTGAGGGACAGTGCCCTGGCCCAGAGTTTAGGCCCCACGACTGGCAAAAACAAACAAACAAAAAACAAGCTAAAACAAAAACAAGTACAATGCATCCTGATTAATGTCTCCCCTTCCATTGTTCTCCTCAATCATTCTCCTTCTCTATTCTACCTTGAAGTGGTTTTGGTTTTTGTTTTTTTGGTGATGGTAGGGTTTGAACTCAGGGCCTTACATTTGCCAGGAAAGTGTGTTACCACTTAAGCCATGCCTCCAGTCCTTTTTTCTTTTGGTGCAGGTCCTGGGACCTGCACCAAAATTTAGGGAATTTAGGGAACAGGCACTATTCCCGAAGTTTTTGCTGAAGGCTAGTGTTCTATCACTTGAGTCCCACCCCATTTTAGCCTTTTTTGGAGGTAAGAATCTCAGAGACTTCCCTGCCTGGGCTGGCTCTGAACCATGATCCACAGATCCTAGCTTTCTTAGTAGCTAGAATTATAGGCTTGAGCTGCTTTTGCTACTTTTTGGAAAAGGTCTTACTTTTATGCCTAGGCCTCAATTTATACGTCTTGCATAACTGGGGTGATAGATATGTGTCACTGGACTCAGCTTTGTATTGGTTGAAACAGGGTCTTTTTTCCCTGGGTTGGTCTTGAATCTCTATCCTCTTGATCTTTGCTCCCAAATACCTAGAGTTATAGGGTTGAGCCACCATGCATGGCTTAGAGAGGTTACTGGGACCCTAAAGGTTTAGGAAGTATTGGTGAAGTTCTATAGCTTTCAGTATTTCAAAAGGATCATAGCTCAAACTTAACTATGTCTGATAATTCACTGTTCCACTTAGTTTTCCTTCCCAAGCACCAACTGGACGATTATAACTTATTTATAATTTGTTTAAGAAGGAACCAAAATGCCCACGATGTTATATAGTGTACATAGTGCTTAAATTATTTTACCTAGGCCCAAGCTGTCTGTGTCAGACCATGCTGCTTCCCATCAGGCAGGGAAGGTTTTTTTTTGTCCACAGGCAGCTCTTCCCAGTGGCTCAAACAGATAGTGAGTTAAGATTCTGTACTCTTGCCAAGCGCCGGTGGCTCTCACTTGTAATCCTAGCTACTCAGGAGGCTAAGATCTGAGGATCACGGTTCAAAGCCAGTCCAGGCAGGAAAGTCCGTGAGACTCTTATCTCCAATAAACCACTGGAAAACCAGAAGTTGCACTGTGGCTCAAGTGGTAGAGAGCTCACCTTGAGCTGGCACAGCATCCAGGCCCAGAGTTCAAGCCCCACAACTGACACACAAAAAGATTCTGTACTCTTCTCTTCCTTACCTGGGTCTGGATGTCATCCCCAGTGACAATGTTACCCACAGCTCTCAGAGCAGGAGAAGCCACTTTGTAATCATTATGCCTATAGAGGAGAAAAAGATTATCAATGAAGGACAAGTATATCACACTCAGCCTTCCTGAACACCAAGGATGGCAGCATCCACATGGTTCCAGACCTTCTGTTAGTTCAGAAAACAGCTAGGTGGAACTGTTTGGGATTCATTTATAAACAAAGAATCTTTATCCTCTGTAACTGAGAACACTCACATCAGAAGCTCGACCAATCTCCGGCAGACTCCGGAGTCTATCACTGCCTGGATCTTCTCATTGGGGCCATCAGATAGGTAAGAGAGGGCCCAGCAAGCATCTGCCAACAAGTCAGAGTCACTGCTGAAGAGTAAGCGAGACAATACTGGCAAACAAGGGGAGACCTGTTGGAGGCAGAATAAAAAGAACTTACAGGGAGACAGGACTATATTAGTTCTATCACTAACCACCTCTCCAAAAGTAATGGTAGACATATATGTCTATATACTATTAATGGGATTTGAATCCAGAGCCTTGCATTCTTGCTTTTTTGCTCAAGGCCGGTACTCTACCACACCTTAACTTCAGGCTCCTTGCTGGTTAACTGGAGATAAGTTTCTTGGATTTGTCTGCCCCTGCTGACTTAAAACCAAGATCTTCAGATCTCAGCCTCCTGAGTAGCTAGGATTCTAGGAGTGAGCCAGCAGTGTCTAGCTGAATCTCTATCATATTATTATTTTTTTTGGGGGGGAGGGGGCGAGTCATGGGGCTTGAACTCTGGGCCTGGGCACTGTCCCTGAACTCTTCAGCTCAAAGTGAGCACTCACTTCCGGTTTTCTAGTAGTTAATTGGAGATAAGAATCTCGTGGACTTTCCTTCAATCCTCAGATCTCAGCCTCCTGAATAGCTAGGTTTACAGGCATGAGCCACTGGAACCCGGCTATATTAAATCTTTTTTTTTTTTTGGTTGGTCGTGGGGCTTGAACTCTGGGCTTGGGCGCTGTCCCTCAGCTCTTCAGCTCAAGGTGAGTGCTCTACCGCTTGAGCCACAGCACCACTTCTGGTTTTCTAGTAGTTTATTGGAGATAGGAGTCTCACGGACTTTCCTTGCCCGGGCTGGCTTTGAACCGTGATCCTTAGATCTCAGCCTCCTGAGTAGCTAGGATTACAGGCATGAGCCACGGGTGCCTAGCTATATTAAATCTTTGTCTATCTTTTTCCCTTTACCATCCAGGCACACAAGGTCAACTGCTTCATTGACAGTTGCTTCTGTTAGTTTCCCATGATTTAAGAGTCTAAGGGGTATCCTAAAATTTAAGAAAGTATGATGGAATCTGCTGTTAGTTAGGGACTGGAAGCAGCTCTCACCTTTGCAAACTCTGGGGGTGGGTTCTTCCCTCTGCAGAGATTTGACAGAGCCCAGACTGCATTTCGTGTCATCGTCAGTCGTGTGGACTTGGTAAGAAGTCTGAAGAAAAAAAGCAAAGCCAGACCTTGAGCACTGATGCCCTAGTACAGTGCCAAGTAACCCCAGGCTAATCTAACTAGACCACAAAGATTCTAGAAGCCAGCCCATTAGGCTAAATCAAGAGCAGTAAATGATGACTTAGAGATAGGTGGCTTGTCAACACCATAGATAATAAGGATAAAAGAGTTAGATTTTGCTGAGCACTGGTGGCTCATGCCTGTAATCCTACCTACTCAGGAGGCTAAGATCTGATGATCACGTTTTTAAAACCAGCCCAGGTTCCAACTAACTACCAGAAAACTGGAAGTCGAAGTGTGGCTCCAAGTGGCAGAGCACTAGCCTTGAGCAAAAAGAGCTGAGATAGGCCCAGGCCCTAAATTCAAGCCCCAGGACTGGCAAAACAAACAAGTAGATCTTGAGTAAGCCTACAAAATCCCCCTCTCCCCAGCCCAGGATCTCACTACTCAACCTCAGGATCATCTTCTTCTTCTTCTTCTTTTTTTTTAATTTTTGTTTTGGGCCTCCTGCATGCAAGGCAAGCGCTCTACCACTGAGCCACCTTCCCAGCCCCTTATTAATTTTTTTTTGGGTCCGGTCTTGGGGCCTGAACTCTGGGCCTGGGCGCTGTCCCTCAGCTGTTCAGCTCAAGGCTAGCGCTCTACCACTTGAGCCACAGCGCCACTTTCAGCTTTTTTTTTCTGCTTATGTGGTGCTGAGGAATCGAACCCAGGGCCTCATGCATGCAAGGCAAGCGCTGTACCACTGAGCCACCTTCCCAGCCCCCCTCAGAATCTTATTGCCTCAGTCTCTCAACTGCTGGGATTGCAAGAATGTACCATCATACCTTGCTAAAGCTTTTTTCTTTTCTTTTTTTTTCATCAGTCATGGGGATTGAACTCTGGGCCTAGGTGCTGTCTTTGTGCTTTTCAGCTCAAGGTAGCACTGTACCACTTGAGCTCACACCTCCATTTTCTGGCTTTTTGGTGGTTAATTAAAGAGTCTCATGGACTTTCCTGTCCAGGCTGGCTTTGAACCACAATCCTCAGATCTCAGCCTCCTGAGTAGCTATGATTATAGCTATATAGGTGTGAGCCACTGGTGCCCAGCTCTTGCTAAAGCTTTTTAGGTAGAACATACTACATCTGAGCTCAAGTCTCAGACAAAGAGTAGTGTTTTCTTTGGAAATAAAAGCTAAATGTCTAAGTAGGAGGGTGTTAGCCTTGCTGTATGAAATGGGATTGAGGTTTCTGAATAACAATCCACTTACCTTTTTCAGTTCAGATATAGTTTACTTTAAGGGTATGGAGGGAGGGAAGACTGGGAAGAGGGGTCCAACTGACTAGAGGGATTCTGAAATATCACATGATAGAGTTGACTAGTGTACCTATGCATAGCCCTATACCCAATCAATGCATTCTGGAGAGAAGGTTGGATTTTTCCCGATGTGTTAGTTACTCTTCTTCCCTGGCTCAATAATGAAGCAGGTACGATCAATATAAGGTTCTATAATACCATGAGGTAAGGAACAATATTCTTGTTTTTTTTTTTGTTTTTTTACTAGTCTTTTTTACTAGCCTTTTCTGTTTATGTGGTGCTGAGGAATTGAAACCAGGCCTTTCTGCATGCTAGGCAGGCACTCTACCACTAACCCATATTCCCAGCCCAAGGAACAATATTCTTGACACAGATTATGGGCATAATCATCTTCTTTTTCTCCTTATGATGCTGGTACTGGGCTTAAACTCAGGGCATTGCATTCTTACTTGGCTGTTTTGCTCAAGGCTGGTCTTGAATCATACCTCCATCTCAGGTACAAACTTCTTATTCTCAAGGTAACTTCTACTTTGGAATCAGAATGTATTTACCTATCATCTTATGGGATCAAATAAGCTGCCCTCAAATGAACTACCACAAAGCTGCCTTATAAATGCCCCAGGTGAAGATGATAATTACTCACGTTAATAAAGGATTAAGGATGGAACAATTCAAGACGTAATCTCGGCAAACGGAACTGTCTCCAGCTATGTTTCCCAGAGCCCAGACTGCCTGAAAAGGGATGGTGGAACTGTCACCCAAAGAGCCTGGTAGCTTCTGCAAATACTTTATAGTCAGTACTACAAAGCTCCCCCCCATCCCCCGAAAAAATATCAAGGCTAGAGATATTAAACAAGTTGTTGTGACTTCCTGTTTAAAATCCTTATTTAGTACTTGCTCTACAAGGACATTTTCCCTGGGTGGTGCTGGTTCAGTGGAGAAAAAGACAGGCTGCCATCTTCAGCAAGAAAAGCCAAATCAAGACCTTGTCATCCACACCATTAGGACAAGAATCTCCATTTCTATCAATCTAGTAAGAAACCGGTGGGAGAAATGGAAATTGTACCTTATCTCCAACATCTACCTATAGTTACTGAGAGGTACTACGGTGTTTTGTTCCAGCTTTTTTTTTTTGGTGGGGGGTCAGTTGTGGGGCTTGAACTCAGGGCCTGGGCACTATCCCTGAGCTTTTGTGCTCAAAGCTAGCACTCTACCATTTTGAACCAAAGTGCCACGTGCCACTTTCAGTTTTCTGGTGATTAATTGGAGAAAAAAGTGTCACAGTCTTTCCTGCCTGGGCTGGCTTGAACCACAATCTGCAGATCTCAGCCTCCTGAGTAGCTTGGATTATAGGCATGATCCACTGGCACCAAGCTAGTTCCACAATTTTTTTTTTTTGCCAGTCGTGGGGCCTGAACTCTGGGCCTGGGCGCTGTCCCTCAGCTCTTCAGCTCCAAAGGCTAGCGCTTTACCACTTGAGCCACAGCACCACTTCTGGATTTCTGGTGGCTAACTGGAGGTTAAGAGTCTCATGGACTTTCCTGCCCAGGCTGGCTTTGAACTGCAATCCTCATATCTTAGCCTCTTTAGTAGTTAGGATTACAGGTGTGAGCCAGTGGTGCCCAGCATGCTGCAATTATTTCTCAGTTAACTGATAACTCACTGGAATAATTTAGATCTAACTTAAAAAAGAACACTTTGCTTATATCAGGTATGATGCAGAAATTGTTGCTGACAGATATGCACAAAGCAAGATATTCAGTGTAGGGACTGGTAGTACAGACCTTCTGTGCCCTCCGACACCTTCTCAGCACAGGTGCCGCCTTCCTCACATATCTGTGAACATGTGTATGGGAGAGGGTTCAGAGTTTTCACCCTCTAATCCTGTGCTTTGTTTTCTTTGGTGACCGAATGTATCTGAAGGTTGCCTTTTTATCACTCAGAAAATTCCAAGGGCTTTAAGAGCACTGTATCAAGAACTGAGATTAAAACTGAATATTTTTTTTATTATACTGTCAGTACCATCAACAATCAAGCCAAATCTGAGTATTACCTGTTCCTGTACATCTTCAAAGTCTGAGTTAAGCAGCTCTATAAAAATGGGGACAGCCCCTGCTTCAATGACAATTTTGGTCTGCTGAGAGGTTCCAGAGGCAATGTTTGTTAGAGCCCAGGCAGCTTCAAACTGAAAATAGGATAAATTTATGATGAGAGGTCATTCTAGATTAAGCAGTTTTACCAGCTAGCTTGAAACAATGAACTTCTTAACCATGAATAGAAACAAAACCAAACAAAAGTTCCCCCACTTACTTCCCCCATGGCAGGAAAAAGCAGTGATGTTACACAATGGGAATACGGAACTGGGTTCAATGGTGTAAGTTAAGTCCTATAGTACTGTGGTAGTCACTACCTATGGGTCACTTTTCTTTTCTGGAGTTTCATCTTTGCTTCTGAAATCTACGAGTGAGATAGCTCTCTAACTTATCTTTCAGCTGAGTTTCTAGCAAATTCCAATGGATTTACTAATTTTCCATTTTTGGAGAAGGAGCCAGAGAGATAAATGATTTGCTTCAGGTCTAATGGACTATATACCCTCTGATTTATAATGAAATATCTATCATAATCTGGTATCTTTCCTTTGAGATTAAAAATAAATACACTCTTTTAACCACATAAACAGAAAAAAACAGAAGTGATACTATGGTTCAAGTGGTAGAGTGCTAGCCTTGAGCAAAAGAAGCTCAGGGACATGCCCAGGCCCTGAGTTCAAGCCCCAAGACTGGCCAAAAAACAAAAACAAAAAAATAATAAAAATCCTACTCAGGTGGCTGAGATCTGAGGATCGCGGTTCAAAGCCAGCCTCAGCAGGAAAAGCTGTGAAACTCTTATCTCCAGTAAACCACCAGAAAAGCAGAAGTACCCCTGTGACTCAAGTGGTAGAGTGTTAGCCTTTAGCTGAAGAACTGAGGGACAGTGCTCATGCCCAGAGTTCAAGCCCTGTGACCAACCAAAATATAGTAATAATAGGATTCCTCAGTACCCCATAAAAAAAAGAGCCGGAAGTGGAGTTGTGGCTCAAGTGGTAGAGTGCTAGCCTTGAGCAAAAGAAGCTCAGGGACAGTACCCAGGCTCTGAGCTCAAGCCCCAGGACTGGCAAAAAAAAAAAAAACAGAAAAAAATGTATGTTTCCACCATGTTTGCTGTTCTGAAGTATATACACATTGTGGGGCATTTCGCTAACAAATGCACTATTTCATATAGTTATCATTGAGATTTGTGGTTCTCTTCTTTGAAGTCAAGTTTTCAGAGGCAAATGACAGTTTCTCTTAAGTATTTCCCCATTACTTATATATTTCTACCCACTATAATTTCTTAAAGAAGTTTCATTTGGCCACCATATCTCCCTAGATTTTACCTGTAATGTACAATTCTCATTCCTCTTCAGAAACTCCACAAACCGATCAACTACTCCTGGAGTATTGATAACTTCATCTATTGGAGGACTTGGCTCTGGAAGGAGGGGAAATAGAAAAGTCAGGAGGCTTTGCCTGATCTACTTCCTGGGGTGAGTTTATAATCCTTCCTAAATACTCCTAAGGATCCTAATAAAGATTCCCAAACTCCTTTCTAGTAAGGCACCTTTAATGATTCTTGCTTATCTCTGAACTATATAATTCATGTGGCAAGCTAAACTGGAGAACCAATCCTAATTAGGCATACTCACTTCTAGCTTACTAAATTAATGTTCAAATGGTAAAGGAGAGAGGAAAGCCCAAGGAATGAATAACCCTTGTCTACATATTTTCCTTCAGGGCCATAGTCTTCTTGGGAAGAATGCTTAATATACTAAGGCAAGATATATTTTCCTTATCGTTAACAGGCTTTATTTATTTATTATTATTATTATTATTTTTTGGTCGGTTGTGGGGCTTGAACTCTGGGCCTGGGTGCTGTCCCTCAGCTCTTCAGCTCAAGGTGAGCACTGTACCACTTGAGCTACAATGCCACTTCCGGTTTTCTGGTGGTTTATTGGAGATAGGAGTCTCACAGTCTTTCCTGCCCTGGCTGGCTTTGAACCGCGATCCTCAGATCTCAGCCTCCTGAGTAGCTAGGATTACAGGCGTGAGCCACCAGCGCCTGGCCAGACTTTATTTTTTGTAGTATTGGGGACAGAATCCAGAGCCTTGTGTATCATATACCAAATACCTACCACACAGTCTTAGTTATTGAAGATGTAATAATGAACAAACTTCCCAAAGTTCCTGTCCTGGCATAATTTACATCCTTGTCAGGAAAGCTATATTATTATTGCTAGAAAGTTGTAAATATACTCTGTGCATACCATATCTACCCACTCCATCAGATGCTCATTAATATAGTTACAGATGGTTACTGTAAAATACAACTATAATGCCAGCACTCAAAAGGCTGAGACAGGAGGATCTCTTGTTTAAGGCTAGCCTGGATTACATAGCAAATTCCAGGCTGGCTTCAGCTACAAAGCAAGACACAGAACAAAACAAAACAAAACTCAGAAAGAAAAAATAATGTGCCTTTCAACCATTTTTTTCTTATTATTTCCTAACCAGTATAGTAGAACAACTATTTATATTGTATTAGGTATTTTAAGTAATCTGGAGATGTATCTAGAGTATACAGAAGAATATATACAGATTATCTACAAATACAACATTATTTTATTTCCCCAGTCCTGGGGCTTGAACTCAGGACCCTGAGACCTGTCCCTGAGCTTCTTTTGCTTAAGGCTAGCACTCTACCTCTACCACTTGAGCCACAGAACCACTTCTGGCTTTTTCTGTGTATGTGGTACTGAGGAATTGAACCCAGAGCTTCATGCATGCTAGGCAAGCACCTTACCACTAAGCCCCATTCCTAGCCCTACAATACTATTTCCTGCAGATATTGAGGATGATAATGGAGGAAAAAAGAGAGGTAGGACAAGGCAAAACTACTGAGTGTGGGGGGGAGGATGGCAGTGTTCGTTATTTGTTTATTCATACAGTTATTGCCAGATTTGGGCTTCACTTCGGGGTCTGGGTGTTATACCTAAGCTTTTTTTTGCTCAAGGTTCATTCTCTACCATTTGAGTGATGCCTCCACTCAGCTTTTTGCTGGTTAACTGGAGGTAAGACTCTCAGGGATTTTCCTGCCCAGGCTGGCTTGGAACTATGATTTTCAGCTCTCAGTCTTGTGAATAGCTAGGATTACAGGCAGGAGCCACCAAGTACCTGACTATGATGGCTGTTTTGGATAGTAGTCAGAGTAGGCTCATTAGTAAGCTGTAAGTGAGGGAGGTGCTGCATAGATATTAGGACATTAGACAGAAAGAACACCAAGTACAAAAGTGGGATATAGCTGGGTGCGGGTGGCTCACGCTTGTAATCCTAGGTACTCAGGAGGCTGAGATATGAAGTTCGTGGTTCAAAGCCAGCCCAGGCAGGAAAGTCTGTGAGATTCTTATCTCCAGTTAACCACCAGAAAACCGGAAGTAGCACTGTGCTTCAAGTGGTAAAGTTCTGCCTTGAGCTGAAAAGCTCAGGGATAGTGCCCAAGCCCAGAGTTCAAGCCCCACAATTCCCCTCCCCTCCAAAAAAAGTGGGATGTACTACACTGTTAGTAGAACTAGAACATCATCAGCAAAAGGGAGAACAGTTGATGAGGTCACTAAAAAGAAAAAGAAGCTCCTTCAAGAAGGATCAGCCTTGGACTGGGAAGGTGGCTCAGTGGTAGAGCCCTTGCCTTGCATGCATGAGGCCCTGGGTTCGATTCCTCAGCACCACATAAGCAAAAAGAAAAAAGCCAGAAGTGGTGCTGTGGCTCAAGTGGTAGAGT